CTATTTGTTTATAACTATGGACAATGAAACGCGATCATTTCAGCTAGCGCGTGAATTAAATTAAATCGAAAGGAATTAGGCTCGTTATATATTCAATAACATGATAAGAAAACTAGCGTCTACGAGCCACAGAGGATGGTAAATGCCTGAAAAATTCTTTTTAATTGTACGCGAAATTTTAAACGAAAAAACACGGCATATGCATATATTTTACTTGGTGCATTTAACCAAGATATAGATTCTCATTTTTGAGAAATTCTATACAACCCTCTTTACCCCCCTGAAGAGACGTAGACTCGGGTTCGATTCCCGATTCAGCGACTTCGCCCCGATATTTTTCTCGTCTACGTCTCTTCAGGGGGGTAAAGAGGGTTGTATAGAATTTCTCAAAAATGAGAATCTATATCTTGGTTAAATGCACCAAGTAAAATATATGCATATGCCGTGTTTTTCGTTTAAAATTTCGCGTACAATTAAAAAGAATTTTTCAGGCATTTACCATCCTCTGTGGCTCGTAGACGCTAGTTTTCTTATCATATTATTATTAATATTAAATATTTATTTATTTAATATCAATAATAATATTTAATTTATTTATAAATAAATATAGTTATTATTAAATATTTATTTAACTATTATCATGGAAAATAAATATAAAAAAATATATTAATTAATTGCAGCGCGTCTTGATTCTTCTCTTGGCTTTTTCTTACGCTTTTTTGAAAACGAAAGAAGATTCCACGTTTAAGAATGTTGGTCGCTCTGAAAAGAGCGAATTATTTTGATCGCCTTAAAAAAGGCGGATTGTTTTCACATTTATTTTACAATAAATGTTCGAAATTACCTCCATCCATCCGAACGCAAGCTCTCATGCGTTTCATTAAATTTCTTTGGACACTTGAGAGTACATCTTCTTCAATAGACCATATGGCATATCTCAATCTTGTTTCCAAATCCTCCATGTCTTCAGGGAGCGTTTTATAAATTATTTCCTTGCAGTATCCCCAAAGGAAAAAGTCCAGTGGATTGAGATCCGGGGATCTTGGAGGCCAACGTATCGGACCATATCTACCTATCCAGCGTCCAGGAAATTCGTTATTTAGATAATTTGTCACAATTCTGGCATTGTGAGGGCCAGCACCGTCTTGTTGGAATATAATTTTGTTTCTATCCGATAACGGCACTTCTTCCAAAAAATCTGGTAGATCGTTTTTTAATAGATCAATGTATGCTGCGCTGGTTAGAATGTCCGGGAGAATGATTGGGCCTAGTATTTCAGTCCCCATGATTCCAGCCCAGATGTTGAGCTTCCAACGAATCTGGAAATTCCTGACTCGTGTAACTCTTGGATTTTCATCACTCCACAAGTGCATGTTATGCGAATTAAATATTCCTTCTCGCGTAAATAGCGATTCATCGCTAAATATTATACGAGAAAGGAATCTGGGATCTCTATCTATCCTTCTCAGAAAATTTTCGCAAAATCTTCTTCTTACGGGATAATCTTCTGGTCGTAATTGTTGTACGCGAGTATAGTGAAATGCGTGCAATTTTTCTTCTTGTAATATTCTCTGTACTGTTGAATACGATAAATTGTGCTCTCGAGCAATAGTCCGAATACTTGTTTCGGGTTCTTGCTCGATAGCGCGAATAACCGTTTCAGTATTTCGCAAATTTCTTGCGTTACGATTTCTCCCAACATCATGTTTGTTTGGGAGAACATTTCCCGTTTCGTATAATCTTTGAGCTGCTCCAAGTATAACAGCAGCCGACGGATGTCTCGCTCGATTTGGGTATAATTCGGCGTATCTTATTGCCGCAGCGTTCTGATGCCCATGGCACTCACCGAGTGCCATTAGCATATCGTAATATTCTTCATTAGTGTATCTTGCCATGTTATCTTGACGCTTCTATGATCGGAGGGTTATTGATTGCAGTATCGATCGCCTTATCTTATTTATACGATCCTCGCGGGGGGTCCATGCCCCCTCCGCGCCTCCAGCGACCAATCCGCGTCGCGACTCGTGGATTGGTCGCTGGAGGCGCGGAGGGGGCATGGACCCCCGCGAGGATCGTATAAATAAGATAAGGCGATCGATACTGCAATCAATAACCCTTCGATCATAGAAGCGTCAAGATAACATGGCAAGATACACTAATGAAGAATATTACGATATGCTAATGGCACTCGGTGAGTGCCATGGGCATCAGAACGCTGCGGCAATAAGATACGCCGAATTATACCCAAATCGAGCGAGACATCCGTCGGCTGCTGTTATACTTGGAGCAGCTCAAAGATTATACGAAACGGGAAATGTTCTCCCAAACAAACATGATGTTGGGAGAAATCGTAACGCAAGAAATTTGCGAAATACTGAAACGGTTATTCGCGCTATCGAGCAAGAACCCGAAACAAGTATTCGGACTATTGCTCGAGAGCACAATTTATCGTATTCAACAGTACAGAGAATATTACAAGAAGAAAAATTGCACGCATTTCACTATACTCGCGTACAACAATTACGACCAGAAGATTATCCCGTAAGAAGAAGATTTTGCGAAAATTTTCTGAGAAGGATAGATAGAGATCCCAGATTCCTTTCTCGTATAATATTTAGCGATGAATCGCTATTTACGCGAGAAGGAATATTTAATTCGCATAACATGCACTTGTGGAGTGATGAAAATCCAAGAGTTACACGAGTCAGGAATTTCCAGATTCGTTGGAAGCTCAACATCTGGGCTGGAATCATGGGGACTGAAATACTAGGCCCAATCATTCTCCCGGACATTCTAACCAGCGCAGCATACATTGATCTATTAAAAAACGATCTACCAGATTTTTTGGAAGAAGTGCCGTTATCGGATAGAAACAAAATTATATTCCAACAAGACGGTGCTGGCCCTCACAATGCCAGAATTGTGACAAATTATCTAAATAACGAATTTCCTGGACGCTGGATAGGTAGATATGGTCCGATACGTTGGCCTCCAAGATCCCCGGATCTCAATCCACTGGACTTTTTCCTTTGGGGATACTGCAAGGAAATAATTTATAAAACGCTCCCTGAAGACATGGAGGATTTGGAAACAAGATTGAGATATGCCATATGGTCTATTGAAGAAGATGTACTCTCAAGTGTCCAAAGAAATTTAATGAAACGCATGAGAGCTTGCGTTCGGATGGATGGAGGTAATTTCGAACATTTATTGTAAAATAAATGTGAAAACAATCCGCCTTTTTTAAGGCGATCAAAATAATTCGCTCTTTTCAGAGCGACCAACATTCTTAAACGTGGAATCTTCTTTCGTTTTCAAAAAAGCGTAAGAAAAAGCCAAGAGAAGAATCAAGACGCGCTGCAATTAATTAATATATTTTTTTATATTTATTTTCCATGATAATAGTTAAATAAATATTTAATAATAACTATATTTATTTATAAATAAATTAAATATTATTATTGATATTAAATAAATAAATATTTAATATTAATAATAATAGTAAAATATTCAATATTTTAAAAACATTTATTCTAATTAATTTTGAATATCATATGATGTATGTATATCGTATGATAATAATAAAATTATACGCGCGTTAAATGTTTAATATTGTATGTTGGCCGCGTTCTTCGGTCAAACACATGATTACGTTCGGCAGCGCTGTTAGTACCTTAACCTGCCGTAACATAACACAGCTGTTTGCTACCGCCGAATAAATATCGTCGCGTTGTCGCGTTATTGGCGTCGTCGCGTCGTGTAATAACGTGTCTGTCCGCGTGTATTTCTTTCATCGAGGACTTTTTAATTGCTAACGGTGATTATTCGGCAGTGATTGATAGTGATTAATGATAGAGAGTGAGTTTAGTAAATTCTCGTTTTATCGAGTGAGTGAATAAATGTGGTTACGTTTAAGAGAATACAGTTAATAAAAAGAAGAACTTTCGATTAATTATTTAGTGTGAATGTCTCTGTCTTTTGTAACGTGTGATATCTATGTTAAATTTGAATGAAAGTGCGATCTATCGGAATATTTATTTCTCAAGGAACTACAGCAATAATTAGCAGAAGTCATCGAACAAGGTTAACAATAATTATTCTTTGGCGTTGTGTCGAAATAGATCTTGGGAAGTCAGATAGTGTCCCAGAGGAAATTCGTAAAGAGAGGGGTTTTTAGTGGGTAGGGAGTACCGAGTTGGTAATTAGACTTGGTACTCGAGTCCCACATAACTCACCGGACCGAGCGGTGAGTATGCATAAAATGCATTTTCCCCTCGTAAAAAAAAAAAAAAAAAAAAAAAAAAAAAACCCAACAACGGTTAAGTGAGCGAATGAGAGAGACAGAGAGTGAGAGTGAGAGTGAGAGAGAGAGAGAGAGAGAGAGAGAGAGAGAGAGAATGTATGTATTCGCATGTATGTCCGTGCGTATAGCGACCAGCTGATCGCGTGAGCGCCCGCGTCTGACGATCAGTTGCGCCGCCCTTGCATGCCTCTTGTATCCGACCCGTAATAAGCAAAATGTTTCTCTTAATAATTCAAAAACTATGCTTTGCACGAAATTTTGTCAAAGGAAAAATCGTCTTAGAATTCGATCAAGATTATGTTTTTGCAAAAACATAAGGTTATTTAGAATCACCCTGTATATATATATATATATATATACCTATATATATATATATATATATATATATATATATACTATATAATATATATATATATATATATATATATATACACATAATTGTAAAATAATTTATAACTTCCCAGAGTAATTTAAATATTCAAAATATATTTAAATCCATTACTTGAAATTCAAATAACTAAAATTTAAATTCACATATTCAAAAATATATATTTAATAATAATATTATAATATACTTAAATTGAGAAAACATATATTTAAATTTTATTCAAATGCACTTAAATATTTATAATATCTAACGACTAAATCTTGGCTCTCTTGTATCTTTTTTAATTTTATTTAAAAATTTATTTTCTAGGTCTTATGAAATTACCCGTAAGGATCGTCTTTACAAAAATATTGAAGCTATGCAGAGGAGTAAAGGCCTTCGAAATCTTGATTTCATACCTCAGACATTCCTACTGCCTACTGAAGCCAAAGAATTGATTTCAGCGCACTTTAGATATAGAGGACCATGGATTGTTAAGCCTAAAGCCAGTTCACGAGGTCGTGGTATTTACATTGTTAATAATGTAAGAATACATATACAATAATTTTTATGTGCACTATTATTTTAATTCTTTTTATTGCTTTAAATACACAACCCTTAATATGACAATCAAAAGATTATTTAAATAATAGTTAGCATTAACTATTAAAAACAGCCCTATAAAATTTAATATGATTCTTGATAGAATTTACTTTTCTTAGAATCTTAAATTCAACACTTTTTTTTTTTAAATTTCACAATAAAGGCAAGAGAGATTAAGATGACGAATTTCTAATTTTTCTAAGATATAGAAATTTCTAAGATAATAAAGAATCTAATTTAATAAGATAATACTAAATAATCAATGTTAAATTCATAACTCTTTTGCAAAATAATAAAAAATTTCTTATAATTGAGTTCAATTTCTTAAAGCCAATATATAATATATAACTAAAAATATATTATGAATATACCGTATATAATTTTTATTGTTTTGTTTATAAGAAATGAGATTATTATAATGATTATTGAATGCACGCAAGCAGGCAATAAAGGAAGAATATATCATGTATACTGTATACTGTGTACTGTATGTATTTTTATAATATATGCAAAGTGCATTATCCATTAGTAATATATAATACTTTTAAATATGATATTTCTTAAATACGATTCCAAGGGTCAACATATAAAATCATTTACAAAATGTATCTTTGCATAAATCTTGGTGGATCATTTTTGATCATCATTATGAGCCTTCATGTCCTCAGGAATCAAATTGGAAGTTATTAGCAGATTTCGAATTTGTATTTTCTCGATTTAGGTATCACTTTCGGTTATCACTATAGGCGATCGACTATGACCCTTCCGAAGAATAAAACTGGAACCTCTAAATTTCGGATTTGTATCAATCTCGATTTGGAGATCACTTTTAATCACCATTATCTCGATTTTCTCTGCGACTCTCACTGGAATCAAATCAGAAGTTAGTATATAGATTTGCAATTTTCTGTGCGAAGCGAAATTTAATTTACATCATTGATGCTTCAAATATGAAATGAGGTCTTAATTATGATTTTCTGTAAGTTTGCAACTTTCCGTGTGTACCGATTCAGTCTATACATCTGATGTTTCTGATAGGGAATTTAAAACTAAATTACATAAAATTACATTACTGAAGTTCAGTTGAATGCAAGTCTCAAGTCCAGAGATTAATTTGATTTCCAGGAGTTCAGAGGAAATCAAACATGGTGATGACTAAAGATTTTCCAGATTAAGATTGATACAAAATATACTTTTTAAATATTTTATATTTTGACCCTTTGGATCAGCAGGATATATTTAACAGATTACAGTTAATAGACAAATTAAAACATCGAATACCATTAAAACGGTTATATATGATAACCTCTCTTTCTTATTG